CTCAAGACTTAAAAGAACAAAAATACCCCTTAGAAACACTGCTTTGAAAAATAATCACATTAACTTTACACACAACAGTCCTTTCTTAAGCTTTATTTAAGAAATCGAGTACTATATAGAATTCAATATATAAGACACATCCAGTATTGTGTTCCTGATAGCAAGTGCATAGATTTTGTTAAGATATCATTTTCACTCAATATAAACGTTTCATGGTCACATGAAGATAATATTTCCAGTGATTTTGCCCAAGCATGAGAGGAGAAAACAGAACACAGCAAAAATAGTGAACTACAACAGAGATGAAAAACAAAAACAGCGAATTAGCAGAACAGTCGATTCCTGATAAGTGAATAAGCTGATTGTTTGGTCACAATGTTTTATTCACTTATCAGGAACGATTCACAGTACACTGACGTTCACTGTGTTTCCTAGCCTGCCAGCTAAGAGTCCCAGCCCATAGACTGCACGCAGCTGCTGTGGGCTGGGCAGACCTGTGGCTTCCATCAGCAAGGAGTGTTGACGATTCTTTAATTTCTCAAGGTGGTCCATGCATGGCAAACACGTACACCTTGCTCACACTGCAATGGTGGTGTACAAAATGAAAATCATAAGTATGAATTTAAGCATGGACTAACTTTACAGTCGTAAGTGCTTAAAGGAACTAGCATTGTCGTCCCCTTCTTTGGAGAATTATTCTTGTTGCTTTTCCAAAGCAACAAAAACTGGCTTTGTCTTTCCCTTCCTTAGCATGAGTATTTTGCCTTGTGCCAGACGGTGGCTATATGTACTTATATATTTAAAAAGTAAACACTTGCACCTCGGAAATAATTTAATCACCCTTTCCCCCCCTCCCCTCCCTCATACATCCCAACCCCCCCCCCAAAAAAAGAAAAGAATAAAAGAAATCACACCCTTAGCCGTCTTTCCCCACTCATGTTAAGCAGTGGGGTTTCAGAGGCTCACTGGTGAAGGCTATGAGGAGGTTGAAAGCAGAAGTATCGGCAGGAAGTCAGCTCCCATCCGGGCAGGTTGGAGCTGGTGGAGTCACTATCACTGAGGTGTCCAGCCTAGGGGAGAGCCTCCTTTCCTCCCCTCACCAGGCCCCTCTATTGTTGAGCCGGCTAGAAATACAATCTCGGGCCAGAGGGGCTGCTGAACGGGAGGGCGAAGAGCCTGAGCACCTACAGGAGGAGTCTCACTGGCACCCAGAGGAAGGCTGCCTGGTGCTGGATAGCCTGAGTCAGACAGCTCGCGTGTCTGAAAAATTGGAAGGAGAGATAAGACGTGGGGAGCAGACATCAATGGAATCTTTTAAGAGCACTTTAAGAGCAATCAGATTCCTGAGCATAGGAGATGGGTGGAAAAGGGTGTTTATCTTTGCAATAACTGGGCTTGGGGCCATAGTGTGGACAAGGCTTATTCTTAACTGCATGTTCATCCAGGAGGGAGTGTGTGGCCATGCACACTATACTGTGAACTGTGCCTCCCCCACCCCGGGCTGGGTTCAGCTTCCATTTGAGCACTTGGAAATTTCTTTTTCCTCTGCTGTTAGTGGTAATAATTAAAGCTGCTCCGGGATTCAATGAATGCGTAGAAATAATTTAAATGGCTTTTCTGTACGTCTTTTGATGGATGGCAATACATAGACTTGGGTGTATTCTTCCCTTGAGAACTCACCTCTTTTAAAAAGGTGGCTAGTTTCTAGGAAGAGTCTGACTGTAATGATAGGCCTCTGGACTTGTGGGGAGATAGAAGAAACCCCAGCAGCAGTTTTTAATGACTGTTAAGCACTGCGTGTGTGTATATATATACACACACACACACACACACAGGAGCGGGAGAGAGGTCAGAAGAGAAGGTGAAAGTAACCTGTGCGGTCAGAAGACCATAAATGTCTTGGCAAATCCAGCTCGGTAGGCAGTTATTTTGGTGAACCGTAATCGTGGAAGCAGCGGCTAAAGTGGGCTGTTGTACGTAAATCAAAGGTGGCTGGTGTGCAATTTCCCCTTTCCCAAATCAGATATTCACTTAAGTGGAATCGACTGTATCTTTGTACACAACATATAGAAAAAAACAGATACGTGAAACAGTGAGGTGTGTAGATGTGTCACCAACATATAATGACTACCAACAATACAACACGCAGAGAGAGAAACAAGTATTAGGAAAATGGTTTAATATTGGAGACAGAAGCAAAAAACCGCATCACACAGTAACATACATTACAAAAATAAGTTTGACTGTTTCAACTACACGGTTATGTTCACAATGAGGACAGAAGAATCAGAAAAAACTTTTTGATCTAAACAGCAAAAAAGCAAACCCCTAAAGTTTTAACTAATACATTTATCCACTTAAAGTGACTGAGTACTTCTAAATCTAATTACCTTATTGTGTAACTGCACAATACAGAATAAAAAGTGAAACTTACCGCTGTATTTTAAGACAAAATTCTAATGCTAGATATAAGCAAAGGGAAAAAAGAAATCAAGCCAAAGTTTTTAATTCTCAAAAGAAAAGCAACTTTCTTTCTACCAACCAGAAAGCAAACTTGAAATCAGTCAGGGGGCCCACTAGAGTAAGCCACAAAAATTTCCATTTTTTAATCTCCAGTATAAAAAGTTTCACTGGTACAAAATGCATAAGTACAATCAGTTGTAGAAATAGGAAAGCCTGCGTATTTTTTTTTGTTTTTGGCTCAAATTCCATCAGACAACAAAATCCAAATGTTATCAATAAAACAAACAATACTCAAATGGTCTTACAGTTTCCACTAGGTTGCATTAACTTTGGCTTTTCTCAGACAGTATTTAAAAACTATTTTGCAATTCTAAACAAAATGATATTATTAATCTACAAACAACAATTCTCACAGCACAAAGAAACACAAATACATTTTTTGTATGACATTATTCAAAAAGGTAATGAAACTACAGGTTTTTTTAAAATTTTATTTCTTTTTAATTAGCACTTAAGATAATAATAAAAACAAACAGTAAAATGATTCCAGAGTAGCACAAGCCAAAGAACTGTAACCCCTATGGTGAAAGAAAGATGAACTTGTTACGCCTTTGAGGACTGCCATTTTATCACAATTCTCTGATTTAGTTTAAAAATGACTATTCTCTACACTTGATTTTTTAAAAAGCAGTTTCCCTGTGTGTTTTCCCTCCTGGCACAGGCCCTTTGCATCCTTGCAGCTTTTTCCTTTTGATCTTAAAGTGGATAAAAGGACAGTTTGTCTCTGAGAAGGGTTATCTTTTTAGCAATGAAAAATGCAAAAAAAAAAACCCCAAAAATGACTTCCCCCAAATGTACCGTCTTGGCTGCTTGCAAATAAGAGTCCCTTAACAAGTGCCAGTCCTGAGCTCCTGCCAGCTGCACTGTTTCTCCTTGGGGGAGAGGCAGGAGAAGGGCAGTGTGCATCAGTGAAGAAATCAGAAGTGTGTTTGTGATTTAGGTAATTGATGAATAGATTCTGAATGAAACTAAGAACCTCAGATGGTGTTCACTTGTGTTTCGATGTCTGTAGCCACACACCACCGTGTACTATATTGAGAGTTAACTTGTGTGTTATAACTTCTGTTATTAAGTGGATTGCTGCAGGAAGTACAAAATAGCCCTCAAAGGATGAAGGAAGGCCCCAGCAGTAGTAAACACGTGTGAGGATAATACAAATCAGGTCATTTTAAGTGCATGTGCTATAAGAAGGAAACTTGTTTTTTTGTTTTTTGCATCAGTAGAGGCTAGTCCTTTCCATCCCAGGGCTATCACATCCGCAGGAGATCAAAAACCAGGTGGTGAGTGGGGAAGGGGAGGTGAAACCAAGAAGCTTCCAGGGCATGCTTTCGGGAAGGCTGTAGGCATGACATTAGGATTTGTCAAGACAGCAAGGTACCTATTCACAGAAAGCAAAAGAGTTATATGGCACTTTAAAAAGTGGCAGCAGGAACTGGTGCTAGGTATTTGGTCAATAACGGGGATAAAGAACTGAGCTTGACTCCATGATCAGTCCCCTTTACTTAGAAAAATAAGGACTGCGGGCTTCTAACTCCAGATACCTCGCTCACTCAGAGGTATCTGCGAGAAACAAAAGCAAAACCCCTCACAAGACTATCCCAGCACAGTCATTTCACTGCAAGGTGTATGAAAAAGAACATACCACTGAACCTGATCTCAAAAGCATACAGAATTTTTAAGGATTACTGAGGTGCTGAACCTACCTCCTTTTTCCTCTTAAACAGTTGTTCGCTAACACTACAAAGAAATGCCAGTAGCACATTAGGAATTCTTTAAAAAAAAAAAGACCAGAAATAATCAAAGGTATAGGAGAAAAGTATTTATCTTTGTGCCTTGTGCAGTTTTTTCGTAGCAGTAGAAACAAAACTGAGACGATATTGGGGTGGGGAGAAATCCAAATTAGGAAGACCCTAAAGCAAACTCAAATTATGACAGTATAAAAAGTTAACATTCCAGATAGCTCTGGGTAGAAAGGGTTAAAAGTTCAAAACTTTCTCACCTTAGAGGTTTCCATAGATTATGAAGAGAGTACATGGTGAGGCTGCCTTCACAGCATGGGTGTGCAGTGGTTAGAAAAGTGAGACGTGGGCACTTATACAATGTCTTACAAAAAACATCATAGAGAAGTAACAAACAATAACAATTCCAGGCAACAAGACCACAGGATAGCAAGTTAACAAACTTTGTAACCTTTTTTTGTTTTTGTTTTTTTTAAATATTAGGGCTTTATACAAAACACATAATAAAATACCCATGTTATCAAATTACTTCTCACAAGAAACACACTGAAGCTCTAGGAAGGAAGTACCTTTGGAATTTGGCACTATATATTTTCACTTTTTTTCTTTAAAAGAAAAAAAAACAGATCACATTTTGCTGAACACAAACACATCTAAATAGTCCACAATAAAAAAAAAAATGACATCAATGCTTCACAAGCCAACACAAAACTTATTCTGGAATAGGTTTTTTTTCCCCCCTCACATGAAATTTTTTTTAAGCAAACAACTTTTTTTTGAAATTCTTTTTTGTTTTAAGTAAACCAATTCTAAACTTGTCTTATCAACAAAGAACATTAAGACCATAAGACTCATGATGAAACCACAACTTAATTCACAGAAGCACCAACATAACACAGTTTACAGTAACCTTTCTCCTGTACATTGAAACAGTATAAAATATAGGTAATTTCATGTGCATTAAACCATGGATTGTCTAACTGTGAGTCAGTTCAGCAAAAGGTGACACAAATAGGTAGCATTTGCCCCAAAACAGGGTAAATATTTTTCTTATACTAATCTACAAAAAGTGGTTCTATATATATATCTTAATGAGAAAGTGAGCCACCTAAAATGGCCTTATCAAAAAACTTTACACTGCCTGAAAAATGTAAAAACTATTACAGACCTCTAGAGACTTAAAATCAGACAGTTTTTTTCTCAAACTGTTTTTGGAAGTAGTCTGTTAGAAACCAACATTCTGTGTCCCTGGACACATATTGCTATTGTTACCAGTGACCGGGAAGAATGCCAATCCCTGTATAATACTTTCAAGTCTGTTTTATGAAAAGAAAAAAAAATAAGAAAGAAACATTTTTGCCACAGGTTGTTTTTTCTATAATTAATTTGTCTAATAATAAATTTCAGTCTTGCATGAATGCAGCAATGTTTTTCACATTGACTTCCCAGAATTCATAGCTAGATGAGGTCACATGCAAATTTCAAAGGTCAAACTAGATCAAAAGTCAGTAGGAGAACCAAATATGATGTGAGGTCAGAAAGACATCAGAAACAATGACGGGACGATGAAACTTTTTTTTGAGACGCCACAGGGACATGCTAGGCAAACGATGAACTAACGGGCATGAAGATGTCTAGGGAAAAAACAAGGAAGAGTAAAAAGTTACACAGAATCTATGCAGCAGCAACAAAATCACTTTTAAGGGTGCAGGAGAAAACTAATGCAAATCTTAGGTCATCGGGGAGTCTACGAGCCATTCACATAATTTGCATTTCTTACACTCTTAATCCACAGCACAATGAAACCCCAAGAGAATCCATCTGGAGAGACAGAGAAGGGATGGATTCTGGGTGTTTGGGGTGAGGGACAGGGGAGAGGGTCCAGTTTCAACAAATGTGACATATGGGGAAAGTCAGACGGCTGAATTGTAAACTAGATAATGGAAGTTACAAACAAAATAATTAGACAGATACAAACACGAGAGGATAAGCATGAACTGTAGGTCTAGGGTTCAACGGTGAAAAAAAGCCCATTCCTAGAACAATTCCTCTAGAGACTACTTCAGAAGGTTCTAGCTAGACAGAGAACTGCTCTTTAGGTACCCAATAAGTTAACAATAGGCAATAAATAACTTCCATTATTTCTGAGGCAGTAAAAATTTTGTATAAAAATAGAAATGCTTTTTTTACAAATAAAATTTACAGGCCTGTGGCTTTCTTTTTTATTTATGTATTATTTATGTATTTATTATTATTAAATTTATCTTTCAAGAAACATCAAGTATTTTCACTCATTTTTATTTTATTTTTAAACCCTGTAGCTTTAAGAAACAGATCTCTAAATCTTTTTTTTACATTAATCCTTTCTAAAAACTAAAATAAAACAATAACAAAATAGACAACCAGTGTAATAATCTGACCAGTAAATGTCATGTTTCTTTGAACCCTAAAATCAAATCCTACTCATTAAAACAAACCAATGTAGTGGAAAGACGTTTTGTGTTGTTTTGAGTAAGTGCTTCTCCTGGCTTCTCCCTCGTGCTAGGCCCCACGGTAACCTCTAAGCGCCAGGGCCCTCCGGAGGGGTGGGCGCCAGACAAGGAGGGGCGAATTCTCCAGGCAGTGCTCTCGGGGCACCAGTGGTTTCAGAGTTAGAATTGCACATTAGCATTCGTTTGCCTTTTAAATTCTCAAGATGTCATTTACTTGTGTGTATATTTTTCTTTAAAAAAGCAAGAATGAAAACAAAAAAAAAATTAAAAAAAAAAAGGTCAAAGGAGATTCAAATTGCAAAACAAAGGAGAATACAGTGGCACAACTGGAGGAGGAATTTACTCAATAGAAACAAGGTAGCCCAAGTTGTAATTATGGCAAACTGGGTGGGGGCATGGGTGGGGAAATGGAGGCCTTATTGTAAAAATAACCGTCTCTCTTGGTAAAAGTTGGCAATGTGGTCCTCCTCTGCCTCCCCTGCTGAGAACAGGCTGGCTCTTGGGACTTACCCTAAGAAAGCTAAAATGAGAGCAGGGAGCCTCTAGGGTTAGGATCAGTAAGGTTTGCTGTCGTTTTTGGAGCGCTTCAGCTGCACCTTCAAGCGTTTCATGCCGATCTGAAAGCCATTCATAGCCTGGATAGCAGCCTGTGCAGAGACTGGATTGTCGTAGCTAACAAAACCTGGAAGACACCAAGGGAAAGGGGGCAGGGAGTCAGGCAGGAGAGGAAGCAGAAGAGGGGGCCGGGCTCAAGGGAACTGCAGGAGCTAGTGCCAACCCTCCGTGTGCTACTGGGTGTGGGTGGGGCATGTCCCGGAGACCAGGTGGAAACGCCCACGGAGCAGCAGTGCGTTAGCTGGTGGCCAGGTCATCTGCTGCCAGGCAGAGCAAACCCACCCAGAACACTGACATCCCAAACTTGGGGTGTTTGTCTGAAACCAGTAGACAGACTAAATTCAAATTGTGTTTAAAGTCCTTCAGCATCTTTCTGAACAAACCCCAGGTACAGAAGTAAATGGTACTCATACAAGAACTGGTATAAATACTTGTGGGTCGAGGGTCTCTGGAGGCTCCCGTGTCCCAGCCAGGTGAGGCTTCTAGGGCAGGATCCTTCAGGGAGGGGCTGGAAGACAGTGGACACTGCCAAAGACCCTCTCACTGTGGTGCCCGCACCTGTTTGCCCAGAGGATGGGTCAGCTACTGGATTCACTCTAAAATAAGCTATACTGATTTTCAACACTTTGGAGTTATTCCTGATGGGAGCCCAGGGAAACGCTGGGCCTTTCTTTTTCTCTCAGTGTCCACTTTCAAAGCTTCAGTAAATGTAACACAAAAGAAATTCCTACCTTGTATCTCCCAAAGCCTTGGGAAATAAACAGTCTAAACAGCTCAGAGCTTAACTATCTTAAGAGAATTCCCAGTCTCTTTCTCAGTAGCAACCACCACCAGCCAAAATAGTAGGGAGGGCATGTGCTTTTGAAAAAGAACTAATGATGCTCTGCAAAGACCCAGATCATACGATTGGTTCTGTCAGTGGGGCTGAGGTGGCAGCAGCAGAGTATAAACAAAGCTGTGATGAACACTGGGGGAGCAGTGCGCTTGCAGGGAGAAGCGACTGCACACGGTTAATTTCCAGTTCTGAACAGCAGCTGTTCAGAAGGTTCTATACTAGGCATCTCCATCCATCTACTGTTACAGTTTAAAGGTAAAGAGGAAATCCCTTTACAAACTAGAGGACAAGGAAAAGGACATAAGTATACTTTCAGCAGAGTTCTCATCTCACCTGATAAAAACAGACACGAGGCAGGGCTTTTAGTGGGCAGGCTGCATTGCAAAATGGTGGCTTACATTTTTATCAAGTCTAATTCCTAATAAATGTGATGTTGAATCCAAGATTTTTTGCTATGACTTTACTTTCTCCTTCTCTTCTGGGTCTTTTTCCAGAAGTGGTGAGATGATAACAAAACCTGGCCAGGATGTGAGAAAGAACGAACCTGGCCAGCAAACCGCGGGCCCAAGAACCTAGGCGTGCTCACCGAGAAAGCTGGGGTGCTACGGCTCTCAATACAGACTGAAAACAGTCCTTAATGCTAAATAATTGTCTGCTGATACTAATAGCGTGCATTATTGTGAGCTAATCTCTTTTCAAGGCAGCAAATGGTTTCTCACATCAAATCGTGAAGCACAATCCCTTTCCAATCTCAGAATAAGCCTAGAACATTGTTTAGCTGTGAAAAATATGGAACTCTGCCTTAAAACCTGGTGCAGGGAAGCCTCCCAAAGGTAAGCTCATGCTCCCCCCCAGGCCACGTCACATATAACAATTTAATTTCCATTTCACTCTCTCATGAACCATCACAAAGGGGTTTGTAGAGTCACCGCTGCAGCAGCAATCGTGTAATGGGTTCAGGCTGACAGCCTTTCCGCTAGGGGAAAAACAGGGACTTTAGATGGTTGACATGCTAATTCCCCTAACAACAGAGGCTTCAGACCTTCGTGGGTGATAGCACAGAATTTACAAAGACGCTATGATAATGGAGTTTTAGAAGCCAAGACATTCTCTTTGGACTGACACCCGTTACCAGTCAGCCAAATAGTAACTTTGAGACCCACCTACCTTCGATATTTTTCTTTATAACATATAATTCTGTCTCTGCTAGCCCACATCTATTCTGCTTTGTTTTATGCTACTGTTAGTACCTACTACCAACCTGAATTGTCAAATTGCAAGAGTGATTACAGCCAATGTTCTAACTCAGACTGGGCCCAGAGCTTGCCAAGCGAGTTATGTATGCACTGAGCATCCTGGCCTCTCAACTACTTTGGGAGCCCAAAAGCATTTGAAAAATAAAAGGAGGAATAGATGTAATGACTGCTATCCTGGTGTAAGGCAGCAGCCAGTTTTCCTTACTCTCTCAGGGAGCAAAAAGCACCACAGGAGGGAGAGCCTGGACTTCTGGAAGGAGGATGGCGCGGCCCCTTGGTGCACTGCAAAGCTGGGCTTCCTGGTGTTTGTCCATTCACACAGCCCCTGCCAAACTCCCACTCCCAAATTCTGGCCTTCAGATGCCACGAGAATGCAGCATCCCATGTGACCGTGAGCTACACCAACTGCTCACCCTAGGTATGTGGAGCTGCGATTTGGCAACAGCCTGCATGTGTTTATGTCAAGATGCTGAATAATCCTCTGATCCAGTGTGTGACCCACAGCCCTAGTGTGGGAGGCAGGTAACACCTGGAGGGGAGGAACTCGGCTCCGTGGCAAAGGGGCTGCAATGCCATTCTGTAGCAGAAGAGCCTAAACCAGGCTGCTGCCTGTATCTCTGAGAAAAGTTCCCGGTTCCATCTATGGGGCCCGAGGAAGAGCTGTTGCTCTGCAGTGACAGGTTATTAGCTGTGAGACACTTTAACATAGAACATTCGCTAATACATGGACATTTAGTTTAATTGTTTTTATAGAGCCCCAGATTGTTTTTATAGAGCCTCTTCCCCTTTTTTTGATTATGCTATTTTACCCAAATCTGCTTCTGTCCATCCAGAAAAGCAGAAACCACCCCCAGACAGGGAAGGCCCTATCCTGACCCTGAAAATATCTGTCATTCCCATTTTCCTTTCCATGACTCTTCACTTGGGAACCTACGGCAGTACTTCAGCTCAGCACGGTTTCTTTTGCATACCAAAGCACTTGCTCAGATTGGTCTGTTTGTCGATGAAGACTTTAGCAGAGATAACATTTCCAAAAGGCATGAACATCTGCAGAATGTCCTGGTCTCCAAACTCCTGTGGAAGGTGGTAAATAAAGAGGTTTGCCCCCTCTGGACCTAAGGAGGGAAAAAAAAAACAGAGTAAGATATCCTTTGAGTGTAAGTTCCCGAAGCTGCTGCCTAGGAGTACTGTCACAGGTAGGCTGCACATTCAGCTTCCTCTTACAGAAACACAGTGAACGGACGGTGAATGTCAGGTGCTGGAATGCCTTTCAGGAAGTACTCAGCCTTCAGATTCTCTTGATTTCTAAAAACATACCGGCTGCCAATGGCTTCCTTCTCACTGACAGTCTTCTGTGGGTCATGCGTACAACTATGTGTTAGCACACATTTGAGTCACCTCTTCCTGGGGGTAAAGGTGGCAGGCGTAGGCAGGATGAGGGCAGAGAACCCAAGCATGGGGTCTTCCTCAGTGGCCACTTTCTCATGTACAGGCTGGCTCTTGGAGAAGAGGGGATTCTGTGCGTTCTCACCAATTGTGGCCATTTGGAATAATGGATGCAGCAGTAGGCTGCTCAGATTTCTCAATCATTTACCTCGTTATCCAGCCAGTTTTGATCTGCCAAATCTCTTAACACACAGTCTAATAATCATCATTAGAAGAAACGACTGGCAGTGAGTCAAGGCAGGGAGGAAGTAGCTTGAGTCTCAGCGTTGACAGGCATCATCCCCCTAGGCCTGGAAGTGAATGCAGTGCGTGGAGAAGCCAGTCAGAGACGCAGCGAAGCCACCCTGCGTGGCTACCTGTTCTTTCCCAGCACAGACAGGGCGGGACGGGGACGGTCGTCTTAGCTGTACCAGGAGGGCAGGTAAGCTCTCCCTCACGTTCCTCTCCATTTCACTCTGCTGACTCTCTACCCACCTCCACTACAGCTAACGGCAAGTAGGAAGCAGCGGAAAAGGATGAGGAAGGAAACCTGAGTGAGCTGGATGGAGGTGTTCCGGGCGCAGTGCCTGGGAGGAAGGGGAGCTCACAGAACTACTGGGGTAGCTTCCGCGGCCAGCAGGCTCATGGATCCTGAGCTGGCACTCACAGGAGAGGAGCCAGGGGACAGCAGTGATGGGTCTCCTAGACAGTGGGGGAAGGGTGTGCGTGGGTTGAAGAAAAGTTAAATGGGGTTAAGAAGAACTTTGTAAAAATAAATATCTTTGCAAAGAAATATCAAACCAAGTTTCTTCCCCTGCCCCCCTAATAAATCATAAAAAAGTATTCTAGTGAAATAGACGAAGTATTTATTTAAAAATGCATCTGCGTGACTACCTTAACTTTGTGGTGTTCACAATTTCCACGGACATCTCCACATTCCATGGGAGGTAGTCTGCACCTCTCTTCTTGTGTGAGGCAGGTTCTTGCTACGTCACTTGGGCTGGAGTACAGTGATACAATCATAGCTCACTGCAACCATGAACTCCTGGGTTCAAGCCATCCTCCTGCCTCCTAACTGGGACTACAGGCACGTGCCACCACAGCTGGCTAATTTTTCCGTTTTCTTTTTGTAGACCTGGCGTCTCAGTATGTTGTCCAGGCTAGTCCTGAACTCTTGTCCTCAAGCAATTCTCTCGCCTTGGCCTCCCAAAGGGTTGGAAGTATAGGTGGGGACCACTGTGCCACCCAGCAGTCTATATTATAAAGGGACAGCACTGGGACTCAGGTCCCCAAAATTTTCTGGCTTACAAAAACTTTAATACAAATAGATGCAAAACCCAGAACACTGGAAACGGATGTTCCGAGTGCTACTGTGCCAGGCACACCCTGTGCAACGTGTGTGCTGCTCAAACCTGGTACCACCAGATTTCACATTCCTGTGAAATACAAGATTCAGATGCACAAATGAGGATTAAGGGGACCCAATCTGATTGTTAAGTACACCTCACCTCCTGAAGCCTGGGGAGAAACTGCAATTTCACTGCACATGACAGATGACTGGGTATGCCTGTATAATCCTGGCATTCTAGAATGCTGCACCTTCTGAATACATCTATGCCAGATAGAGACACCAGGAAAATACAGAGATAGGTAAACAAACAAAACTAGGCTTTGTCCTTTTGCTTATTTTCCCAAGAAAAAATGCTACCAGCATTTGGTATAGACCCCCCTGATTTTTCATCACCAAGAAACAGTTTGATTCTGTAAGCCCCCCATGTTTTTAACATTATGAGGAAAAGTAACTTCATATAGAAAACTTCCCTTGTATGCAACTAAGGTGGCTGATACCGGGGTTAAAAATAACCTTTTTTTGTGGATTCCGCCTGTGTCTTCAGCTCTTCCTCTACCTCCATAAGTAGAATCACCTCATTCACAAATCACCCTTGGTTGGTCAGATCTCCCAGTGTGTGCTGTTCCCACTCGTGAGAGCTGTCTGTGTCGTGCTGTTGCGCCTGGCTGGTTGGGGTGTTTGTATCTCGCATGTCTCACAGGGCATTTGCTCCAGCACAAAGCACTGGGGGCGTTTGTGGGCATGAGGGTATATCAGACGCCAGCACCCACTGATGTGGATGCAGATAAAGGCAGATGGGAGGGCAAGAAAGGTGATCAACCTTCCTGCACAGAGATGCCGTGACCCTTCAGAAAATTTACCTGAGAAAAAATTAAAACTATTTATTTTTTTTACAAAGCCAGACTGGCTTCCTTTCCTGTAGGGAGAAAATACACCAGGGCACATGACTACATACATCAAGGCTACTTTCAGCTCTCTTGGCTAATGGACAGAACTGTGGAGCAGAAAATTTAAAAATCTACTTAGTATTGGAATTCATTACATTCCCCCCCCACCCCCGTATAATTTGCTTTTTAAATTACATTTTACATAAACTACTGTTAAGATGGTTTAAATTTCTTGAGCACATATGAACTGGGTGAAGAGAAGATGATCCGAAGAGAGAGAGGAGAAGGTGGGAGAGGAATTAAAAACCCAAAACCTGTCACCACTACCACCAAAAAAACAAAAACCCAAAACCAGGGGTCCTCAAACTTTTTAAATAGGGGCCAGTTCACTGTCCCTCATACCATTGGAGGGCTGGACTACAGTTTAAAAAAAAAAATTGTGAACAAATTCCTATGCACACTGCACATATCTTACTTTGAAGTAAAAAAAACAAATGGGCGAAAACACCCACATGTGGCCCGTGGGCTGTAGTTTGAGGACACTTGCCCTAAACTGTGCTACTAGTAGCCCACATATCTAAATCAGGTGTTGCAATCGTCGCTTCGACCTGTTTTTTATTAATCCCAGAAGGGTAGTTACTGCACTAATCAACTGCTAAAACTCAAGGCAAGGACATTTAGGGCAGTGGGCTGGGGTGAAGCAACTCACAAAATACTATATCATGCCCAGACTTGATCCCTGAACCATTGAATTTTGAGTCATCTGGTGGCTGCTGCCTGTCACTGCCACAGGTTCTGCAGGCCTTGCTACACAATGAAGTGACCAACAGTCCCTAAAGCTGTGGGGGAGAGGAGGCTTTACCTCCTGTATCTTTTACGGGACCCCAGCTACTGCCCTTATTTGTCACCATGGCACTCGGGGCACACACAGGCTTTTCTTCGGGCAGATGTGGGGGTTATTATGGGGCGGGGCTCTCTCACACCTGCTGAACCACAATAGTCTGTGAACAGTGGCGCACAGTTACAAAACCTACGAGAATCACCGCTGTGAGTACAGAGAAAGTTTAAATCATGAAAACTTAGACTTTCATATATCTTTCATTTTTTTAATACTCTGTTATTTATAAAAAGAAAAAAACTTTTCCTTTTCAAAAAACATATGAGTATCTTTTAAGCTATGGTTCCTTAAAACTCACTTTACAAGTAAGACTGTTCTATTTCTTACACAACACCATGTCTACTGTCAAAGTATTCAGACAAAAGCAGTTTGGAACTATGGCGGGGAGGAAGGTAAAGGAAAAGGAAAGAAAATTTAAACTTTAGTACTTCCCTATTCTAGCTGCTTTTCCCATATTCCAAACAAGTCAGGAAAAAAATAACTAGCATGTTACAGATTTTGCTTTAAAGCAACTTCAATTAAGGGAGAAGAAATCAAAAGGAAGCATGACAAACTATTCTTATTTGGACTAGATCATTAACCATTTTATAGGGAGCTTTAATTTATTCTTAGCATTAACTTCCTGAAGTTTATTTTGCTTCACTGGCAGAGAAGCAAGGCGATCAATCACTTCCTTGCTTTCCCACAAGACCCCCAATTACACAAAGACCAAGTCAATCCTAACCGTGGATCTTATCATTAACCTGAAAACCACTGTCTACTGAGAGGCAGCCACACAATCACAGGGCATGTGGACTTTGACAAACCTGGCAAGTACCGGAGGGAGAGCGGGCGTCACCCACCGAAGCCTGCATCGACTCATCCCCTCCCACCGAGGAGTGTAAGGAGAGGAACTGATGGCCCGGGCTGATTGGGGAGAGGGAGGTCCCGGTCATACGGTGATGGTAGCAACTGCTCAGTAATTGTGTGTACGCACACAACAGATTAGGGGTAGAGAACCTGTGGCCTTAGGGCCACATGTGGCCTTGTGGATTCTGGAGTGCGGCTTTTTAACCGAATCCCAATTTTACAGAACAAATCCTTTTCATAAAGGGATTTGTTTTGTGAAGTTTGCATTCGGTTGAGGGTCTGCACTTGGGGATCTGGAGGGCGAGGCTAGATGTGGCCCCAAGGCCACAGGTGGTCCTGCCTCAGTCTCCCAAGTAGCTGGGACCACAGAGGTGTACCGCCACACTGGCTTATACATCTTTAAATATATATATATATATATATAACAGAAATAAACCATTTGATTTCTCTTATGACAGGTTCAATCTGGTACTGTGTAACTGTGCTTTAAAGGCCACTGCTGCGTGCTGGGCTGGCCACCACAGGCCCTGCCCAGGCCGGGGGTGGCACCTACCTTCCTTCTGGCTGCCCGCGGCGCTCTGCTGCTGCAGCAGGCTCTGGCTGTACAGCGTGGGCAGCGCGGCAGCCGCGTACTGCTGGATTCCTGAGTAGGCCTGGGTGAGGGCGTCCATGGTGCCAGCCGTACCATTCGTCAAGCCTGTGGCGCCAAGTCCTCCATTCAGAGCCGCCATACCTGAGAGCATTTGAGCAACTTTACAAAAAACCCAACAATAGAGAAGAGAAATAGCACTTATTCATTAGTGCTTTCCAAAGGAAGTTCGAGAATCATTTGACACAAGTACAACAGCAAGTACATGCAGCTAGCACATCAATTACACCAACAGGAAATTAAAAACAAACCATGAAGAAATCAATCATAATAATGCAAAAAAAAAAAAAAAAGACCTAAGCAATGACAGCCCTCCCTCCCTAGGCCTGTGACCACGATGCACTGAGGCACTACAGTGAGACAACACGTCTTAGTCCCATGCGATGTGCTACTGGCAAGTACCGTCGTTATCTTTTGGAAATAAAAGCCTTCTGCTTCTTAGCGTTTAGAAGCACGTGGAAAATAAACCTAGTGGCACAGGCCTGCAACACGTGTACGCTCAAATCCATTCACTGGGCTCTCCGAGGAGCCAGGGGATGCCTCAAGGGTTTGGGGAATAAAAGGATAAAACTTTTTCCTTTTTATGATGAGGACATGGCAGCAAAGACAAGCTCTGTACCCTATAAACCAGTGAGTCAGCAGTTCCATTAGCTGGCTTTCCTACAGTTTACAGATGTCGTCAGGGACTAGGATCTTAGGAATGAACAGCCTAGCTGATGAAGAATTGAGGTACAGGAGGAAATGTGGGCCCGGCCCATAAATGCTGAGAACTAAAGCTACTTTATTCTGTATCAAAGGCTAGAAACCGAATGCTGCAGTTTTCAGCAGCAAATAGCTCCTGCAAGTGTGCACACCCAGGGTATTAATCACTGCCCAGTAACTGAAAAAGCTCCATGTCATGTTTTGCAGTCACCTTAAGTGACACCTGTCTGCAGGCTGGATCCTCGCTATAAACTGATGTGAACTGCATGTCGGCCAGTGGACTTTTTTGGTTTTTTCTTTGTATCCTGGCTGCTCTTTGCTCTATTCTATTATGGTTGCTGAGTGCGTCACACTTTCCCTGAATATTGAGTCAAAATAAGCAATACTTTATATTAAAGCATTAACTTCTAAATCAACCCAGGGAATAGAAGAGGTGACATTATGATCACCTCAGCTTCCCTTTATGATTACAATTTCAAACAATGTTTCTAGAAACATTAACGACCCTCTTGATGGGATCAGGGCTACTGCTTAGAGATGCAAAAATGGCAGGGATGTCTAAATGACAAAAATGGGTAAGGAGTCTCCAGAGAATAGAGGACAGCTAACACAAGGTCGTGCGACATTCCCCAGGGAAATCAGACCTCCAGTGTTGCTGCTTCACCCACAGGAAACAGGAGGTGGGGAAGGAATGTTCTATTGACTCCACTGGGGCTTCTGTTACTTTGCCAACTTCATCTCTTTGATTGAAAGGACATGTGAGATGCGCATTAGACCACGGCTCCATAGCACAGGCCTCCTGTTGTGCCTCAGGCCTGTGTTCCCGGGGTGGGGCAGAGGACACACAGGGCGGTGGGGGTGGTGGCGAGGGAGTGCGGAGGGCATGCCAGCTGCTGGCAGAGGAAGTGACTTCCAGCACACCCAGCAAGTACAGGGCGGGCTGAGCGGTGCTGGCCAGCAGAGGTCCTGCTGCATCTGCTTTACGTTTCTCATTATTGAGGAGTCTGTTCTGTTTTTTTCCCCAGTCATGCAAGTAAGTGCTGTTAAAGAGCTTAGAAAGAGTGTGTCCTCATTAATAACTCCAAATGACCCCTCAGACGCCAACTCATCACGTTTGCCTCCTGGCCTCCTCTTCCTTCCCTCCATCCCTGTAGTTGTCACAGCTGCCGTAAGGGTAGGGTACTCTTACTTTCCCCAGGCCTCTCATTTCGTCCCCACCTGCCAGTGCTTGTGTCCCGCAAAGCAGCATCGGCGTTTCTTCTCTGAGAGGTGAGAGGAGTCACGTGGGAGAAGCGAGGCACCACTCGTGAATTCCACTGGTGTCACTGCTGTCAGGCTGCTACCATGTGCCAGGAATTAGACTTCAGGTCAGGGCTCAACCCTCTGGACACGCAGGTTTCTGCGTGTCAGGCTTTCTAGCAGGAGAGGGAGTGGCGGCCTGCCACGTCCCTTCTGTCCGAAGGCGAGTGGTTCGAGGTGCGCACCGCAGCCTGCAGAGCTACACAGCCCCCGGCTGCCCAACACGCAGGGCTCGAAGATGGAAGCGCCATTCTGATGGCCATCTCCAAGTCCCCCTGCCACTCACGGCCGAGATGCTGCATCGCTAGGACACCTTGCCAGCTAAGGGTCTTGCAGGTTTCAGGCCCTGCTACGTAAGGCCACACGAGTGCCTTCCCGTGATTTGTAGCCCCTGTGACTCACACGGCGTCTGCGGAGGGCGAGGGGCGCAGGTTTTCGCCGCCATGCTCACTGGTGCCCGTGACTGCCTTCATCTCCAGGACTATCTTTTATCGTCTAGGCCATGATGATTATCTTTCTACGTTGAACTTTTGTCCTCCTTTTGCCCCCCCAATTTTTTTTCTCTTAAAACACAGAAGCAGAATGAACTTCACGCTCCTGGAATACCGGACGGATGTTTCGGGACTAAAGAGCCCTTGCGAAGCTCGCAGCTCAAGCAGGTGGCATTCCAGCCACGCCCTCCACGCTTCCTGGCTGCCCTCCACGGCGGTCGGCTGTGCGTGTGGACTGCGCCTCAAGACTGACATGCTTTCTGGAAGGGTTCTGTGTGCTTCTGCTGGTGCCACGTGTGCAAGAGACAGTCACGAGTGGCCCTGCCTGACTGGGGACCGGGAGGAGGTGGCAGGGGAAGCAGCTCCTGGAGAGGCGGAGCTGCTGAGGGGCACGAGGCAGGATCTGCACAGGTGAGCGAGGGTGGGTTTGGCCCCTCCAGCCACAGGCTGGCTGTCTCCGTGGTATGACCATTCATTTGAACAAAATTTAAGGCTGAAAGTTCTAACAAGTACAAGTGCATTGACAATATTTAAAACCAAAACTGTCTTTTACAATCTGGGGAGTGTGTTTGCCCAACCCATGGTAGAACAGGAAATTGGTTATATGGTAGAATTTTAAGATCAAAGATGACTTTAACTTTTGAGTATAACTCCTATGAATTGCCTGATGTTATTCTGTATTAAATAATCATAATATCAGTGATTAACACTTGTCAACTCAGCTGCTGGCACCTGATTACCTCTAAAAGGTTTGGACAGAGGTTTTGAAGAAAGTCAAGTCAAATAAAATGATTCCACTTAATAGGACTTTTCTTTGAAATGGCCAAATGGACGGACCATTTCCTCCCATTCAATCTCGATTCCCATGTGTGCTGTTTGGATGAGGAGGCGGGCGTGGCAAAGCTCTGGTCTGCCAAGAGGGCGTGCAGAGCATGACTACTAAGTGCTCTACATGTCCTTACTCTCCGAAGGTCCTCAACGACAGAGCTTCTGTCACAGACAGGAGCTTTGACATTACCAAGTAAAAATCATTAAAATGACAGAGGACTAAGTCACAAACATAAAATGAACATGTTTTGTGGCAACTATGGAGATGGTACTCAGAAGTAGTAGAGGCAAGTACCATAAGCAGAAATCATTTATGTGCAGACCACACTGCTAGGTTTTATAACAAATGAAAAAGGAAAAAGTGAAGAGCCTATTAATATGTTCTCATAGATTTCTACCCTACTAAGTTTTGCTTTGCACAGATGATTATCTTTCTAAGCTGCAAGCTTATAAATGAGAACCTAGGAATTAAGTGTCTACAACTAGGGTAGATGCATTTGAGTTTGTGCAATTCATCACACTTACATGTATGCTTGTGTTAATAAGGTCACAAGTATGTGTGGAGTGTTGTGTCCTCATGTATGTATCTCATTGCGTACATCTTTATAAATTCCCAGAATATGGTTAAAACAATAATTTCACAATGTAAATAGTGATAAGCCACAATAATATGCCCAAATCATCTTCTCTTTTCTCTACTTTACATAAAATATTTCCGTAAACACTTTTCACCAAGCATCCGTGGCTGGTTCTACGGATGATTGTTTGATTTATTCAAACAATCATAATTTTAAACACTATTGGGCAGCGGTCCTCAAGCTTTTTAAACAAGGGGCCAGCTCACTGTCCCTCAGACCGTTGGAGGGCTGTTGGAGAGTGCGGCGCACATTCCACACATGCGCACTGTGGGCCCGCGATAAGTCGGCTGCTAAGCAGGACAGGCAGCGGTGGCAAAAACACCGGGAGGGCCGGATAAATGTCCTGAGCAGGCTGCATGTGGCCCTCAGGCCATAGTTTGAGGACGCCTGCTATAGGGTAAGCCCGTTGGAAGAATTATGCAGTTTAAACAAGGGAAAATAAGGATGCCACTTGACATACATTTAAACACAAAATCAGATACAGACTCTGTGGATGGACATATCTGCAGAGTGTGCTCTTAGGCGTTAATATACAAAACGTGGCCAGGGAACCTTCCAACAGTCCAGAGGCGAGAGCCCAGGGTGGGGGACTGACCCGTGCTCCTCACTGTGCCGATTTTATCTTCAGGGTGCTGCACTGTGTTTTAGTCCTCCATTCATTTATGTATGAGGGAAGAAAAAGGCTATCAAACTCAGTTTCACTTAGTTACTTGTCTACTAACCAAAACCTTCATTCCAGGAGGGCGGGCAGGGTCAGACCCTCTTGGCAGGGAAGAGGGTACAGTCTAGGCTCTTCCAATGAGTCATCTGCCAACTTTCTGGCTGCTGCAATATCCAAGGGAAAGAGCTGGTTCTACTCGGAAAACCAGAATACCCTCCTTACGGTAGCAAATAATGGCCCCTGGGACAGAGCAGGGTAGGAATCGGCAATGAGATGGAATCTGTGGCCACTTTTTTTGGAAGCTAGTTCTGTCTAGGTGACCATTTCTTGATGACCTTCTTGAGAACTGTCCGGTAGAACAGGTGGCATCATCAGGAAGAATGGTCTGAAGAAGGAGGGTGCTCTATCTTAAAAGGTTTTCTCTTGATATTTAACTTGAGATAAGGAGCAAATATTAGCTCCAAGTCAACTTTGTGAGCATCGGATAGCTCTACACTACGGTAACACCAGTCAAGTCAGAAGGACTGTATTTTCATTTGCGTGTCATTTTTGGTTTGATTAAACATTTTCTTGGTTCCTACCGCCTCGTAGGGGTTATCTGAAACCAGAAACATTCTTTCTTACTTTCCCTCTAACTGTATGTATTTATATTAACTCAAGGGCAAAGAATTTGGAAAAGCGAAACAGTTGACACCTGTTGTCCTTGCCAGCAGCAGCATCTGTGTAACGCGAGCCCCGCACAAGAACGACTCATGGTTGCTCCGCCATTCCACAAAGCCCGCGCCAGCCCCGCACGCTAGCGGCGGGCAGATCCCAGCGACGTACAGCAGGGCGGGGTGGACAGCGCAGGACACAGACAAGAGGACACACACACAGCAGTCATGAGCACGTGCTGAGGAGGACAACCATTCCCACTGGCCTGTTACTCTGCAGACCAAGGACAGGCAGGCGATCAAATCAAAGTCCTTGTTTTAGGGGAACTAGGTCCTGGGGCAAGAGAAGCAGCATGAGGGGAGGTGTGCGAACACGCGCGTCCTCAACCTAGGTGAAGGGCAAGGTCAGGAGGAGGAGCCGGGCCCGAGGCGGGAGGTGAGGCTCCTACTGGCCGCTGCAACAGGGCAAAGCGGGAGGCAGTTTTGACTGGAACCAGACATTCTGGCTGTCACAAGGTCACCACTGCACGTTCTCTGTGCTCATCAAGAGCCATCACACTGGGAAGGAAAATGCTTTTCTTTTCCCTGTGGTCACATAAAACTCAGTCCAAGTTTTTGTTCTTCCCAGAGCATCAGACTAAAAGGATTTAATAGAACCTGAAAAGTCCCCACTTCTAAACATACAATTTATTTTCTAATCAGGATTATAAGTTAATCTTTATTTGGATGAGTTTTAGGTTCATTTTTTTTTTTTAATGATATAGATTGTCCTTTTCGATCTTTTGAAGTATAAAATTATTTGGATTGTTTGCTTCTTAAAAAACACACAACTGTCTGATCACCCTTTGGAAGCATTCCACTTACTGAATCATGGTTTAAAATAGGACACTTGTCAAAGATCCCTTTGTTAAAAACTAAAATGGGCAGGTGTTGGAGTGCCTGGTAGTAACTGGGCCCCCAAATCAGTAGCTCTGTTGGCTGCCACAGACCCACAGGGCTTGGCCACTCTCAGGCAAGCAGGGGGTACCAGATGGAGAGACGGGCAAATGCCGTGTCCCCTTTCTGGGGTGAGGGTCCGTTTCCCTAGCGCAGGAGCCTGAGATACGACTTATCCTCTGGCCGGGCTGCTCTTCTCCACAGAGAGCTAAAACGACAGGAACAGGCTTGGCTTCATAGAGTAGAACCTAGAGTTCTTTGGTGAACCCCTATATTTCAGAACCAAGTATAATTCTGTAATCTATTCGCCTCAAAGCCCATTTGAACCTGCCGTGGTAAATCCGTGCCCCTTCGGACAGTCGCTGCTGCAGAGCGACCTGTGCCTACGGATGCCTCGTGAAGATTCCAGACAAGTCACTTCCCACAGTGGCTCCTCTCCACTTAGTGTCACCTCCTCCTCTCCAGGGCGTCATTCTGTCCCCTATATAATCATCATGCATCTTTTGGATTTTAGAGCTGGAGGGTACCTTTAAGATCATGTGATCTAGAACTTTCCATTTTCAATGGAGACTGCGAAGCCCAGAGAGGGAGCAGTGATCTGCCTGAGCTCCTACAGCCGACTGGCGGCAGAGCTGAACTCGCTTCCTGACTTCCAGTCCACTAACTTTTCCGGCACGGCACACCGCCTCGCAGGAGGACAGAACGAAACCAAAGCCAGCCCCTGGAAACCTGGAACTACCTGCCGGCCACAGCCACCTGCGGACGAGCACACACGCTACACACTGAAAGGGATCTGGGGGTGGCGAGGGGTTGGGTATTTTTTGAGACAAAATGAACATAGGTAGCTTTTGCCTGGCAAAGCATGCGCTCCTCCATCCCAAGTTTTAGTTCTCCCCGTCACGTATCCTTTTAGGTCATTTCTGGCTGGCCACTTTCTGTGGAGAATTTGGGGGAAGGCTGTCCACCAGAGCAGCAAATACTCACTGTTTATGGTACCTGCTAGTGCATTAATATTATTCAGTCCGACGGTGGCTCCAGCCAGTCCTTGCAGAGTCCCAAGAGAGGTCAAGGAGTTCATGGCTGCACCAGCAGTGGAGTTAGGGGTGGAAGCAGCCACTGAAAAACAAAAGGAAGACAGGGAAAGGGTGAGAAAGCAGGCGACGAGGGGAAGCCAACAGTTGGACAGGGAGGTGCTCTGTCGTCATCCTAGCACCCGGAGCCGAGGAGGCTCGCTTGTGTTTCTGGTGGGAAAGACACACGAGACTGCCCTCGTGGCGATTTTGACAACTAGATTTGGTGGTTAAGGAAATCATCACAGGCTATTTTGCCAGTGCAGCAAATACGCTCACTGCTGGTCAGCAGGGACATCTGCGAATAGGAGGTCTACCCCTTCCTTGTGCACGTGAGGAGAGCCTCTGTCTGCTAAGGCTCCTTCTCATCCAGGCCAAAAGCCACCCGAACAAAGACGGGTAGCAGTTGGGGGGTCAAAGGGCAACTCTTAGCTTCTGTATTATTTCTGCTTCAGACTTGGTATTTTATCAATTGTTTTTAAAAAGCATCATGCATCTTCCCGAGTGTGCCAGAAAACTTCAGCACCCACAGAGGGGGCAAAGTGTTATGACATAAATCCATTTTGGTATAACTCTCCCCTATTTTTTTTTTATAAAACATAATAGTTTTATTGAGATATAATTCATATTCCACAAAATTTACCCATTTAGATATACAATTCCAGGGATTTTAATATATTCACAGAATTGTACAACCATCACCACTATCTAATTTTGGAACATTTTAATTCTCCCTTAGCTTTTGTTTGGGTGAAAATTACATATTTATTTTGTACTAGTTCATGAAACATGTTTCTACTATTCTAGGTTGACAGCTTATTTATCTCAGCATGTCTTACTGCCTTCTGACTTCTATTATTTTTATCAAGATATCAGGTATTGAGAGGTTTAAATGTGTTCCTTTGAGGTTTTTTCTCTGTCTTAAAGATCTTCTCTTTGTCTTTGGTGTTCTGCATTTTTCACTATAATGCTTCCAATTATGGACTTATTTTTCTTGTTCCTCTTAGGAATTCATTTGGATCCCTGAATATGTGGATTTTGGTTTTTGTCTTTTATCAGTTCTACAAAGTTCTTGGTCATTAACTGTTCTTATATTGCCTTTCCCCCATTCTCTTTTTTCCCTCAGGAACTTCAATTAGATGCAAGTTAGATCTATTCCACGTCACTTAACCTCTCATTTTTTTAAATTGTTTTCTCAGTTACGTATTATCTTCACAAATCTGTCTTTCCAGCTCACCACATTCTCTCTTCAACTGTATCTAATATGCTGTTAAACTTACATATCCATTGAATCTTACATTTTATTATATTTTTCACTTCTAGAAGTTTACTTTGTCAACATGCTTGGTCATTTTTAATAATCGCTTGCTTTTTCCATTTTTCAAATCCTTTTAAGTTTCTGTAATCATAATAATTGTATTTCCTTTTTGCTGTATGCTAGTAATTCCAACATCTGAGGTCCTGGTGGATCTAAATATGGTGTCTAATTCCATCTCTGCTGCTTCTTACTCTTGATGTTTGGTTTCCTTGTATATTTTCTGATTTATTGATTGTGAGCTTAACTATCTTAGAAATTTATTTCTGGGAATTCTTTGAGGCCTGGGTTGAATATGGGCCCTTTCAAAGATGACTTACATTTGATTCTTTAAGGTGCCAGAGGGAAGTACAAGCTAGGTACCACCTTAAGTTCCTGGCTTAAGGATTTTTATCCACTCAGATAAAATAAAATTGGGCTATAAACTCATGTGAGGGTTGATTTATTGTTGTAAATTCTCAGAGAGACACTCCCCTTAACCCTACTCAGCACTAAGTTTTGAGAAAGCTAGTTTTCCTTACAGTTTTTTAAAGGGGAATATTTCTTGTTCATCTTTACACTGAAAGGTTAGCCTTTTATGGTTTCAGATTCATATGGGGAGGGTCTCCTATTAAATTACATCAGGTGGGCCCTGGACTTCCTTGTACTCCTTATGCTCTGGAAACCTTTGAGAACTGATTCTCAAGTTTGCCTGGTTCATCAAGCGTCCTTAAGGTGAAAGCCACTTTCAATGTGCTACTTACTTCTTTGGGTTCCCCTTTCACTTAATCATTAATTTCTGAGCATTCCTTACCAATTTTCTAGTTATTGATGTGATTACAAATATTTATAAAAAATATCTTATTATACCCTTCAGTTTTTAATAGTCTTTCTAGTAACCTAACTGCCAGAAACAGAATTCCTTCCCATGTGGGATGTTTCCCATGGACTGTATCTGATATCATTCTCCATGTAATAGTCCTTTACCACATCATTGTACCAGCAAGTACCAGCAAGTAAGGGATAAAAACTATCCCTAGGGCATGCTCAGATTCTAAACCAGCAATGAAGGCCTTAAAAATTTTTACATAATTTTAGGTGACAACAGGGAAGCAATTCTCAAATGGCCGTATAAAGATATCTGTGTATCCTCTCCCCAGTGAAATAACTATAACTGGTGAAAACTATAAAAATCAACCACTTAAAGTCTCTAGAAATTATCGTAAGCATATACACAAAGAAACATTTTTTCTTAAGAAAATTTACCAAATCTCAGCAAGAACAGCAAGAATTTGTGGCATCTGAGCCACAGTCCACAACTGCTTCCTTCTCTGGGACCAAGCCCTTCCACTCCCTGAAGCTCAGCATAATGGAACTCTGGGTGGGTATGGCCATGAACATGGGATACATGGACTCCCTCTTCCCACAGCATTTCCAATCCCTGTCCCTACCAGCTCTGCTGCAGCAGCTCTATTTTAGGCCAAGCACCACACAAGTCCTTTCCTCAACCCAGCCTCTGCTCACAGAGTGGACGCTTGACCCCAGGCACAGCACCCAAGAGTATGGGGCCCCACTCATCCTCACTCCATCTATCTTATATGGTAGAGGTTCTATGCTGGGAGAGGAAGGCAGAAAAGACCAGTTGCTACCATTCTCACACCACAGCCTTCTTACAGACCAGAGATGTCAAAGAAAAGCAGGCTACCGTCCCTGTACTAGCTCTGGAGCAGTGACACAGCGGTTCTGTCTATAGAGAAAGACCACAAAAACACAGAGCTCCATAACTTTCCCTAAGGGTAATGAATTATTTGGAACAGAGTGTGGGAAAGCTCAGGCCTAAGACATTCTCAAAAGCAACAAATTGTGGTGGTGAGTAATTAAGAGGTGGCTAGTAATTCCACTATAGCATGGCAGACCAGCCAACAGTTTAACAGAGGGAACCAGGGAAAGAGACAGCCAAGGAGAGTTCTCCTGGAGCCAGAGCAAGCTTCAAGGACTGGCTGAAAGACTGCCCCTACAAAGGGGTCTGACTTTGGGGGTAATTTATTTTCCAGGGCCAAAAACAGAGTAGACGGCTGGAAATTAGGGCAACAGCTGGGTGTGATAATAGACACATGTGCCAGAAAGTTAACAGAGATGAGGCAAAGATGCAGTCCAAGCATGACATCTAGAAGAATTATGTAATTTAACAAAGGGAAAACAAGGATGTCACTCACTCATAGCCCAAGGCTGTGGCCCTGAGTGACATGAGAGGCACACTGCAGGGGAACAGACTTCATTGACTTAGTCTTGCTAAATCACTAAGCGAATTAGCAAACAAGCAGCCAGTGGCGGAGGGGACAGTGGAATGGACGCAGAGGATCAGTACCCAGAACTGCTAGGGTATGTTATCTAAAATGTCCAGTTGTTAACAAAAGATTATGATACAAAGAAACAAGAACATGTAATCCACACACAGGAAAAAGCAGACAACAGAGCTGTATGAGAGGGCCCAGGTGTTAGGCATAGGAGACAAAGACATCAAAGCAGCTACTACAAATGCTCCAAGAACTGAAAAAAAAATCATACATAAGTAATTAAGAACCTAATTACAATGCTTTATCAAATAAAAAACATCAACAGAAAGACAGAAATTATAAAAATGAACAAAATGGGCATTCTGGAGTTGAAAAGTAAAGAACTGAAATGGAAAATTCACCATGGGACTCAACAGGAGATTTAAACTGGCAGAAGAATGAGTGAACTTGAAGATCTACCAATAGAGATTACACGGTCTGAAGAATAGGGGAAAAAAGAATGAAGAAAAATGAACAGAGCCTCAGGGAACCGTGGCACATCATCAAGCACGCTAATGTACATGTAATGCATGTACAAAAAGAGAAAAGAAAAGACCAAAAAAAATATTTGAAGAGATAATGGCTAAATTTCCAAATTTGATGAAAAACATTAATCTACACATTGCAGAAAATCAGATTCCAAGTAAGAGAACCACAAAGAGATCTATCTATACCCAGACATATGATAGAAAAAATGCTGAAAGTCAAAGAAAAAGAGAAAATTTTGAAAGCAGCAGAGAAAAACAGCTCATCATGTATAAGGGGATCCCGACAAGATTAACCACTGATCTGAGCAGAAACAATGGGCCAGTAGGCAGTAGGATGGCATATTCAAAGTGCTGGAAAGAAAAAAACCTATCAATAAGAATCTGACTTCCAGCAAAACTCACTTCAAAAAATAAAGAAATAAAGACATTCTGAGATGATAAAAAAAAAAAAAAAAAAAAAAAAAGGACAAAATTCATTACTGGTACATCTGACTTGCAAGAAATACTGAAGTTCTTCAGGCTGAAAGCAAATGACCCCAGACAGTAATTTGAATCCACACACAAAAAACACAGAACACTGCTACAAGTAATTATGCAGGTAATTATAAAAGACAGTATAATGGCATTTCCCCTCTTCTTTCTTAAGTGATTAAAAATCAATTGACTACAACAATGTGCATATAATTGTACGGTTAGGTCTGCCACACAGACATGTAATACATTTGACAATAACAGCACAAAGGATGTGGGTGGGGGTGGAGTTGTATTTGAGCAAGCATATTCTATCAGACGGGAACTACCATCTGCAGGAAGAAATGAACAGAACCAGAAATTGTGAACAAGAAGGTCACGAATGAACTCCATAAATACATTCCTGCTCTCCTTTTTTCTTTCGGTTTCTCTAAAAAGATGAAGATTGCATTAATAT